AAAATTAAAACAATTATGAGATACCAACTAACACCCTCAAAGATAGCCAATTCAAAAAATCAGAAAGCAGCAAGTGTTGGAGGGGCTGTGGTGAGATAGGAACTCTCATCCACTGCTGGTGTACCTGTAGGCATGCACAGCCACTATTGAAATTGATTTGGTGATATCTAAAACAGATGGAAATTGAGCTACCATACGACCCAGCAATACCCCTACTGGACTTATACCCAGAAGAGGCAAGAAACAATCCATAGCCAGACATCTAGGCTCCAATGTTCATCATGGCACAGTTCACAACTGCAAGGAGTTTGAAACAGTGCAAATTTCCATCAACAGACGAATGGATTACACAACTGTGGAACATACATACAATGGAGTACTATGCATCTCTAAAAAGCAGTGATGGAACACGTAAAGCACATCGCCACATGGGAAGAACTGGAGAAAATTATGCTTTGTGAAGTAAGCCAAGCACAAAAGGACAAGTACAACATGAGTCTGCTGAGGTAAACTTAAAAAAAAAAAAAGAAGCAAAACAGGCATAGGGAAAAAGCTACAGTATACGAACATTCCTAGAGTGAGGTCCAGGTAGTATGGCAGGGGCCAGACCAAATCCAGGGGTACAAATGTTAGCCAACTAAAAAGGAGGAGGAAAAAAAGAAGGAAAAAAAAAAAGATAGAAATGGGTAGTGGGGGAACAGGGCACTAACCCACCCAAGGAGAGGGTCTTGTTTATCTCTCTACAGGGAAAGAGGGGCCAGACTTCAACCTGGTGCAACATACTGGCATGAAGAAGGGAACCAATGGAGAGGTCTGAGGGGCTGGTCCCAATCCCAACTACATGGACAGCACCCCTCCCTGCCGAAGAATTCACTTAAGAGGACAGCACTGAAGCCAGAGCTCAGGGAGAGGGACATGTCTCATAAGAGCACACAGGAGCAGATGAAGGGAGAGGAAGAGAGAGTGGAACACATCCTGGTCCACCAAGCCCTGAGGACGATATTCCCACTCAAAGCAGCTAAAGCAGAGAGAGGACCATAGGGTCGGCCTCACTATGAGATTCGAAGCCCTTCACTGACCAAAAGCACTAAGGGGGAAAGCGCTGGTGACACAGTGAGGGAACTGCACCCGATCTAACACTACCACCACACTGAGGTGAACCACTAAGCGTGTGCAACAACAGCAAGGGGAACAGAGCAAGGAAGTCCCCAGGGAATACTAAAAATAAACTTTGGGCCAGGGCATGGCATCCCATTAGACTCGACTGGAAAACACTCCTAAAGGTCAACAAACAGACTTGAAACTATTTGCAGACTTTTTTCAATCATTGTTTTTTGTTGTTGTTGTTTTGTTTTCTTTGGTTGCTTTGTTTTGGTCTGTCTTGTTTTTGTGCATAATATTACCTCTGCATGTCCATCTAGATAAGATAAACGGGATAAACAACCAACCCCAAGGAGAAGGGAACAACAAATGATCTAAAATCAATGGCAAGGAGGGTGTAAGAGGCCTGGTAGGGCTTATTCAAGGGCAATGTAACAGAGGAATTACTGAAACCCAAATGAAGGCTGAACATGATAGTGGGACAAGAGGAAAGGAAAAGGAAATAGAGGAAGGAACTAGGAGGCAAAGGGCATTTATAGACGTCTAAATACAGGCATATACATATGTAAATATACTTATATGTGATGATGGGGAAATAGATTTATGTGCATATATTTATAGGTTTAGTTTTAAGGTAGCAGATGGACATTGGGCCTCCACTAAAGTACTCCCTCAATGCAAGAATATTTTGTTCTATTAATCTGGCATTCCATGATGCTCACGTTTTGGACACGATTGCAGAAGACAAAATGGGTACATAAGCAAATGTAGTAAAGAAAGCTGATGGTGCCCAGCTATCAAAAGAAATAGCATCTGGCGTCTTACAGGCTTGAAGATAAACAAGTGGCCATGTAGCTGATAAGCAACAAAATCCACATGGAAGAAGCACACCAGGCTGTGTGATCACAAGGTGTTGAAAAGATTGGGGATCAGGCATTAAAGAACAAAAAAATCCTATCATTGAGAATGAGGAGGAGTGCAGAAGTGGAGAACCAAAGCCCATCTGTAGGCAATGGGACATCCCCTTACAGAAGGGTCGTGGGGAGGAACTGAGTCAGTCAGGGTGCAGTATAGCACCGATGAAACATACAACTTTCCTCCAGTGCATTAATGTTTCCTTACCTCCATTATCATGATCCCAATTCTACCTTACAAATCCACCTAGACCAGAGGATGTACAGTGGTATTGATCAGAGATGGAAACACAGGGACCCCTTAGGACCAATAATGACAGTAGAGATACCTGGAGGGTAAGGGTAAGGTGTGGGGAGAGAGGGAATTGATCACAATGATTTACATAACTTCCTCAGTGGGGCACAGATGACAGAAAAGTGGGTGAAAGGCGACACTGGACAGTGTAAGACATGGAGAAATAACAATAATTTATAAATTATCAAGGGTTCATGAGGGAGGGAGGGTGGAGGAGGGAGGGGAAAAATGTGGAGCTGTTACCAAGGCCTCAAGTAGAAGGAAAATGTTTTGAGAATGATAGCAAGAAATGTACAAATGTGCTTGACACAATGGATGTATGTATGGTTTGTGATAAGAATTGTATGAGCCCCCAATAAAATGATTTCTTAAAAAAAAAATTTCTTCACCGCCAAACATTTTTTATTCTATGATTTCCTTACTCTGTACATACCTTGACATTATTTTTAAATTAGTTGGTACATATATACTTAATTATTGTCCATCAAGGTAATAAGAATGTGATATTTAGAAGGTATATTCCTTCCTGTCCATGTGAAACATAATTTAGTTATATTATAAAAAACCTTTTATTTTATTCAGTAGCATTTTGCAATGGCTGATATTAAATAAGTTGACTTGATTTTTATTCCCTTATATGTAATATAAAAGCAGAACAGGTGGTTTTGACTTAAAATGTACTAGAGTTAGGATGATTTGTATTTAAGAGTGTCTGATTTTCTAAAGCAGTGGTTCTCGACCTTCCTAATGCCATGAACCTTTAATACAGTTCCTTATGTTGTGGTGACCCCCAAGCATAAAATGATTTCCATTGCTACTTCATAACTGTAGTTTTGCTACTCTTATGAATCGGGCGACCCCTATGAAAGGGTTGTTAGACGCCCAATGAGTCGCGACCCACAGGTGGAGAACCACGGATGTAAAGCAACTTAAAGTTAATATGAAGTGCATATGACGGGGTACTTCAACCCTACCTCAAAAAAAAAGAAAAGGGAAAATGTTCTGCTGGTAGTATGCCTTTTTCTACATTTTTCCCGCTAGGTGATCATCAAGCAACTCGTTTTAAGTTAATGCCCCCAGTGGCATAGCCTGGGAAGGTTGTCTTTGGTCACAGTGAATTTTTTTCATAAAAGGAGTTTTGCTCAAACCTTGTTTTTGTGATGGCCCATTTAGGAGAACCATGTGCAGTTGTGAAATTCTGTTTCCTCCTCAGGAAAAATGCCACAGAAACTGTTGTGATATTGCACACAACTTACAAGGGCAGTGCTATGGGAAAAACTCAAGTATATAAGTGATTTTCTCATTTCAAAAGAGGTCAACTGTCAACTGATGACAAACCTTGTTTTGGACATCCAGAGCGGATGAAAATGTCAACTCCTAGTGCATTTGGAGTTCGTTCTACCAGGTGAGACTGTTAATCAAGCTTTCTATTCAGAGGTTATGAAAAGGCAGCATAACCGTGTGCGACACAAAAGACCTGATTTGTGGCAGAGGGGGACTGGTTTTGCCACCAAGGCAATGCATCTGCTCATGCATCTATCTCATTGCACCAGTTTTTGGCAAAAAACAGCATGCCTCTATGCACCTTGCTCCCCTGACCTCACTACGTGAGACTTCTTTTTGTTTCCTCGAATGAAGAGGAACATGAAAGGACAATGATTTGATGATGTAGAAGAGGTGAAGAATAAAACAAGGAAGGTGCTATCAGCCATCTCAACAAATGAGTTTGAAAAATGTTTCCAAGAATGGAACTGCAGATTTGACAAATGTATTAAGTGTGATGAAGAGTACTTTGAAGGTAATAAGGTTGTTTTGTAAAAAAAATTTTGACACATAGCTTTGAAAAAAATTCTGGTTTTACTTGTGTGTGTAACCCCTTGTATAGTTGCCATGTGCAATGTGTTAATGTTATGTTCTCTGGATTTATAAAGATGCTATGAGGCAATATCAATAAAAATGGGAGGGGCAGGGAAAATAAAACATGAGGTATTAAACTTACGTCAGAACTGACAAGAACTGTCATAACAGAATTCCACTGTAAGTTGGGGCTACCTGTATTACCTAATTGCTTGTAAAAATTCTTTAAGATTTCACAAAGATATGGTTTTTGACTGATATATGGTGAGCTCTTTCAGTCTGTATACTGAAGATTTTCAATATGTGGAACTTTTTTTCCTGTTATATTTTATTGTTTTTCAACTGAGTTATGTCAAAATGTTTTCTGAAATTTTATTTTGGATCCTTCCTTTCAAAACTTGTATTTCTAAAGAAATTTCTCCTATTTTGTACCATTGTAGAGTCCAATTACTTATCCCCCAAAGTAAAAATGCATAGAAGAGGCATTCATGCTAGAAAAGACATGGAGGATTTTGATGAGTCACTTTATTACCCAGAATGAAGCCGCAGTAGAAGTCATAGTAGCTATGCCTGGGGAACAGTTCTGCAGTGGGACTGAATGAAATAAAGGGTTACATTGTTTGCAGTGGGGTGGGGATCGGGAACTACGGCAATGACACCATGACACTGACTCTTTACAAATGGTATTATGTAGCAAATACCTAGGTAGTAAGCTCATCAGTTGTCATAGCATTTTTAAGGTACTCAAGACCTTTTCATATATTATAAACAAAGCAGATGTTACTACACATCATGTCAAAGAAACTGCCGACTACAGATTACCTGAAACCAACCTGTGTAAGTCTCCTCACCATCAGACACAGGCACTTCTCTCTTCAGCAGCAATTCCAGCTCCTCGGTTTCTGCTACATCCACTGGACGCTCCCCATGTTTGTTAGCTTGAAATGGGTTTCCACCGTGACGGAGTAATAGTTTCACTATCTGCAATGTTTAAATAGTTATGAAGATTTAGTCTATTTCAACCAGTCTCTTGGCAACTCATAATATCTGTGATGGAGTGAAATTTCTTAATGGCTCTTCTCCCCAAGTTTCTAACTCCCACCAAATGATTGCCATGCAAACAGGGTATGTATAATACCGTTTCCCCGAAAATAAGACAGTGTCTTACATTAATTTTTGCTCCCCAAAGTGCTCTAGGTCTTATTTTCAGGGATGTTTTATTTTTCCATGAAGAAGAATACGGTACACAATTATTGTTGAACAACAAAAAAGGAAATTTATTACCTGTATACGGTACGGTAGTAGTTGTCATCACAAACCAGCATAACCAGACAAACTGAATCCTACAGTATCAAGAATTTCTTGTTATTCCTGCCCCACGCGACTCACTGTCTAATTGTGAGTCAGCCAGACTCCGTCAGGGCAGAGTGAGCAGCAGGCAGCAGCTTGTCCTGGTGGCTGCGTGGGCTCTCTGATTAAAAGAGACCTTGCATTTCTTGTCTGCTCTGGTTGTGCTGTGGCCAACAGTGACCTGCGTGGTGGCGCCCGCCGCTACGGTCCAGAGTCCAGAGTTACGGTAGCTTCGGGGGGGGGGGGCTTATTATGGGGAGGCCTTATTTTCGGGGGGGATGCCTTATATTTCAGCGAGAGGCAAAACTGTAAGTACATCTTATTTTCGGGGGATGTCTTACTTTTGGGGGAAACATGGTATTAACAGAGGGGTTGGTCAGTTTATTACTATCCCCTGGCTATAAGGATGAGCCACTTTTGAAGCAGCTGCAGAGAGAGAAAGCCTAGCACCGCTGACAAAGCACATTCTAGATCTCTAAAGTGGCGGAGGTCAAGACCAAACACACCTGAGACTGTGGCAAGGAGACTATGGGTCAGAGCAAACAGAGCAAGGCTGAGACTATGAGACTATGAAACAGAATGACAGACCATCTTCCTAGTGCACAAAAGCAGGGACCAAGAGATCACATGGCTGAGAGCTTAAGGAGCAGAGAGTCTTGGCCGGCTGAGGTGATGTATTGTGGACCAATGACTGAAGACTTACAATTAGGGATCCTGAGTTGTGGTAATCTATTAACTTCCCTAATGTCCATGTTAGGTGCCATCGAGTTGGTGTCAGCCTATAGTGACCCTATGCATAACAGAACTGTCTGGTCCTGCACCAGGCTCACAATTTATCCCCTAATCAACTCCCATAGTTGTGGATATTGTCTGAGTTCTGTGGGGCCACTATAATGAATTATTGAGCCCAGCCCAGGAACAGAGTGCGGTGGGAGGAACAGTTAGTCTTAGAGTAGATAGAGAAGGATGGAGTATGGAGGCATGTCTGACCCCTGCTTTGTGGTAAATGGAGAAATCAGAGGAGGTCAGCTCTACCACCCCACCCATCCTGTTCTTTATTGTAATGTCCACCTGGCTCATTTACTCTGCATTTCCCCTTCAGTTTCTACTCTATATCATTACTGTCTTTAAAGTCCATTCTCACTGACAACCCATCTGATAACCTTACCTATGAGAAATTCTCTTCCCAATTTTTAAACAGTCATTTTAGTACTTAAAATTCCTTGTTTTCCTGTTTGGTCACAAACTCACTATTTATTGAGTACCTATTAACAAATCCTAAGGAGTTGTGGTGGTGTAGTGGTTGCACACTAGGCTCAATCTGAAAGGTTAGCGGTTTGAAACTACCAGCAGCTCCACAGGAGAAAGACAAGGCTTTCTACTCCAGTAAAGAGTTACAGTCTTGGAAGCTCACAGGAACAGTTTTACATCGTCTTTTGGAGTCGCTAAGAGTCTGCCTCAAATGGATGGAAGTGAATTAAAAAAAAATTATTAACAGGCCCTATTTAAAGTTCGGCAGATAAACCAATGCAAAGGATTAATAGGGTCCTTGGCCTCTTGAAATACAGTTTTTAGAGAAAGCCTCAAAGGAAATATTTCTCCCCTTCTGTCTAAAGTTAATCTAACTAATGTTAATCTAATTCTCGTTTAATCTCTCAGAAATTTAAATAATCATTACTCAAGAAGAATTTACTTTAAACCAATAGAACTTAAACTTCAGGGCCCTCATGTGAATAATAATAAACAAATGGTAAGCGCATTCACCATTAAAGAAAAAAGTATTTTGTTTCAGATGAACTTATTTGTTCACCAAACCCATTTCAATTTTACTTTGCCTCCTCTTTTCCAAGCCACTCAAACCACTATTTAAGTTTGAGGAACATGTATATTACATAGTTCATCTCGAGAAATGAAATCAACAATGTATCCTGTTAACCCCTGCATTTTTTTGTACCCCCACCTCCCCATTCTACCCTTTCTCTGTTTCCACAAACATCCTGGCCTCCTTGTAGACACTACCAGTGTCTACCAGGGTCACCAACAGTCAGTGTAGTCTGTTGGTATATAAAACACGTTTCTTCTTTGTTCTTCCTTGTAACAATGTTGTTGCTGTCGTTGCTGGGTGCCATCCCATCGTGTCTGACCCATAGCAACCCTATGCACAAAAGAACGAACTATTACGTGGTCCTGCACCATCCTGGCAATTGTTCTTATGTCTGATCCATTGTTGCAGCCATGGTGTCAATCCATCTCGTGGAGGGTTTCCCTTTCCTCACTGCCTCTCCACCTTGCCAAGCATGATGTCCTCCTTCTCCAGAGACTGGTCTCTCCTGACAATATGTTTACACTATGTAAGGTGCAGTCGTGCCAACCTTGCCTCTAAGGAACACTCAGGATATACTTCTTCCAAGACAGGTAGGTTTGTTCTTTTAGTAGTCCATGGTACTTTCAATATCCTTCTCCAGCAGCACAATTCCAGTGCATCAATTCTTCTTCGGTCTTCCTTATTCTTTCACATGGGTATTTGGCAATGGAGAATGCCACAACCTTATGCATAGCTTTGAAGCATAGTCAGATACTGAACGCCTAACAAAGGAAACAGAATATTGTCGGAGACAGTGTCGGAGGAGGGGTCTTTTAGGTCTGAGCGTACTTGAAATGTGACTGAAGAGGAGCTGGTTTTTAAGAGTGAAGTCAACTATGGAGACATGAGTCAGGTAAAAACTGTGCAAGTGGAGTCTTTGGGATTTTCATTTGTTGATGGGGCATGACTCAAGGTAAGGCAAAACAGCTGCAAAATTGTCTGATGATCAGAACTTGGAATGTGCTAAGCATGAATTTAGGAAAATTGGGATGTGGTCAAAAATGAAATGAAATGCATTAAGATCAATATCCTAGCCATTAGTGACCTGAAGTGTACTGTTATTGGCCATTTCAAATCAGAAAATCGTTTACGATTTACTATGCCGAGAATAACAAAATAAAGAAGAATAACACAATCAAGAGGAATGACATGGCATTAATTAACAGGATCTTGCTAATCCATCATGAAGTTCAAAGTTGTCAGTGAAATAATTATATCTATCCACCTTCAAGGAAATCCAATTGTGTTAGACTGGGTTGACAAGAGAAACAAATTCATTGACACTCATATATGTGTATGAGAGAACTTTATATCAAGAAGCAATTATGCATCAATAAAACATTCCAGCCCAGTTCAGATCAAGTCTTTGTTAGACAGGGTTCTTTAGAGAAACCCAAACCAGGACACTTAAGATTTTTGATAGATAGATAGATACAACATGAAAAATAAACAGCTAATTAGTCCACAGAGCAGTACAGCAGGCTCAGTTCAACTCATTTCTGTTAGACAGATAATATACTGGCAGCCCTACAACTCATAAGGGCTACTGGGTGCAAGCCAAGCAAGCAGACACCTGAGTCTTCTGTAGATCAATACAAACAGTCTGGCCACAAGCAGCAAACAGCAGGGTGGGTCACCAACAGTCAGTCAGATGACAGGGTCTGACAATCCCCAGCTCAAGTGATGTATACACCAGCAGTGTGGCAAAGCAGGTCTTGAAGGGACCTTAAACTATCATGACACGGTCCACGGGTTGAGTGTCCCACAGGTAGTGTAGCTCACAAGTTGAGGCAGAGAACTAGGTAAGGCAGCCACACTCTGATCATCAGAGAGCAAGAGACAGCAAGGCGAGGCTCGCCGAGCTATTTATCCCTTTGTCTTTCAATTAAACTGCGACCTTATTAATCTCACATGTGTTTACTGGCCAGGTTGGCACAATAAACCTATCACAATCCACCCTTTGTCAATTTGGCACCTATACACAATTCTTCAGCCATATATAATTTCCAGACATTAATGAAATCACAATTATACTTAACATCAAACATCTATCATATATATAAATGAAAACACACTGATCCAATTGTATCTGGTATGTCATACATGAACAAAGGAAAGATATTCAATAAGCACATATAAAGAAAATAATTTGACAATCACAACCTCGCTTTTGCAATTGATCACGTGGTTGTAACTGATAGGTTGAGCTACCTTCTTCTACAACACATTCTGTATTACCTTTGTCCTCGGCAAGCACCTCAGGTGGCTGTGGTTCTTTGCCTGATGTGATGGCCCAGACCTTCATTTCTGAGGGGTCTGTGTTATTAGATGTCCTGTCAGGATTAGGTTGCTGTAATTTATCATTTACTTTAATCACAGGGCATGGTACTAAGAGACGGCCTATGGGATCTCCTGGATTCCAGACATATTCTTCTTTACCTCCATTATATAACACCAGTCCAATTTCTCCTTGGTAATCAGGATCAATCACACCACTCAGTACAGTGACACCCTTTCTAATCTGTTGATCCAAAGGCATGAGAAGCCCAAAGTGGCCAGGGGGCATTCTCAGCTGCTCCAAAGGCATGAGAATCCCAAAGTGGCCAGGACACATTCTCAGCTGACAGTTCAGTGGAACCTGTGCTGTGTTTCCAGATGGGAGAGTTTCTTCCTTCGAGACCAGGACCTCCAGGCCTGAAGACATAGGGTTCCTGGGACAGGAAGCAAAAATGCTGCAAGTGGATCACTAGGAGTAACACTGAATGGT